AGATAAATGCTATAGCATCGGATGGATCTGTGGATCTTAATTTGGAGGCGGTTAAGGCCAATGTGACAATTCTTGACAGAGTTGTGGTAGGGAAGATCTTAGGGAGAAGAGTGTCTTTCTTCATGTTGAAGTCAGATATTCAGAGGCAGTGGGGCAGATTTGGTGAATTCCAGCTCACGACATTGGGACATGATTGTTTTGTATGTATGTTCTCTTTGACCGAAGCGAGGGACGCTGTTTTGTGCGGCAGTCCTGGTTTATTGGTGGAAACATTGTTGGTTTGGATCGGTGGACACCTACCTTTTCTCCGGCATCTATGGAGGGCTTGTCCTCCCCGGTGTGGTTACGCTTCCCCAACCTCCCATTACAGTATTGGGATGCTAGTAATATCTCCAGAATTGCTTCGAGGTTTGGGGTTCCGCTCTGGATTGATGCACAGACTGGCAACTGGGGGAGGCGCGAATATGCTCGGGTGTGTGTTCGTATGAACCTGGCTAACAAGCTCTTGGCGGGAGCATGGATCAATTGTTTGAATGGAAGATTCTATTAGAAAGTTGAGTATGAAGGTATTGGTACTCTTTGCTATGGGTGTGGTAAAGTTGGACACCGAAGGGAGCAATGTCCATTGAAGGCTACAGGGCAAGGAGAAGCGCCTATGCGGAAGATGGTTGAACAAGGGAAGTTAGCAGGCTCGGGTGAAGGCACTTCAGCTCAAATTTCGGCTAGTAATGGGAAGAAGGTGAAGGATGGTCCCTCTGTGGTCAAAATGGAAGGGAATTCTGTGATTAAAGCTGTTGATAGCCGGGACAAAGGTAAGGAAGCGGATATGCATCAAAATAAGGAGAATGTCATGGCTAGAAATGTGAATGAGAAATGCGATGAGGAGGACCAGGTGGGTCCATGGATCCAGGTGCCTCCGCGTAGAAGGAGGAGTGCTCATCTTCAGGGCAAGGCACAGGAAGTTGCTGGCAACAAACAAACCTTGAATGTTTTGAAACAAGTAGATTTAAATAAGATTAAGGAACCTCAAGGTACTATCAAGCCTACCCGTAAGCAATTGAAGATGGGGTTTAAGAAGCCGTTGCCTTTTACGACGGGGATCAAGCCTATTATGCGACGGCCTAATAGACTTAAGCTTGGAAATGATTTGAGTCAGGAGAATATGACTCCTGAACTCTCACGGAAAAGAAGGAAGGAGATGGATGAAGACATTAGCGGCGGGGATGCTTCCCCTTTTATTTTTTAATGCCTTCCATTTTAATCTGGAATTGCAGAGGTGCCCGTAAGAAGATGACGGGGTACTATCTGCGAAGCCTTATTGGTAGCAACGAGGTATGTTTTGTTGGTCTAATTGAAACTATGATTGAAGATATTAGTAGAATGGAGGTTAATAGACTTATTGGTATGAACTGGGATTTTTTTCACTTCCCTGCTATGGGGAAATCGGGAGGTTTGTTAATGTTGTGGAGAAGGGATATATCACAGTTTGTTGTTGATATGTCTATGGATCAGGCTGTTGTTGGCAGTTTGATATTATTCAATCAGCAGAAGTGGATTGTGGCTATTGTCTATGCTAATAAGAATTACCACACTCTTCGGGTGCTGTGGAAATCGATTGGTCCTTTAATCAGCTATGATCTCCCTATGATTGTGGGTGGAGATTTTAATTGCTGCTTGAATCAGAATGAGAAGAAAGGGGGTAGAAGATTCAGCTATTCTGTTGGAGCTCAGAAAATGGTTGATTTCCAGGTTGAGAATGATTTGCATGACTTGGGCTTTGTGGGACCAAGGTATACGTGGTCGAATAATAAAAGTGGAAATAGTAAGATTTGGGTTAGACTTGACAGAATTTTGATGAATTCTGAAGGACTTCGGATGGCTCCAATGGTTTCAGTTAAGCACCTGCTCCGTCTAGCTTCTGACCATTGTCCGTTATTACTTAATTTTTCTCCAACTTCTCCGAGACCTGGCATAAGATGGCTGAGATTTGAAGATATCTGGATGACATATCCGATCACTTGGAAGCTTGTTTGGAAGAATTGGACTAAGCTTGACTTTGGTCAACTTGATGATGTGCTTAATCGTAAGTGCTCACATACTCTAAAAGCATTATTTTTTTGGAGCAGGAACAAACTCAGGGAACTTGGGGAGCTGAAGACTTCGCTAGAAGGTAGAATTGAGGAACTTCAATTACAGGAGAGTATGGGGGAGGGACTGAGCAATGAGCAGGATGAGGAGCTATGTCAGAAGGCTGCTGAATTGAATTCTACATTGGCTCGCCTGGCTACTTGGTGGAGACAGCGAGCGAAGGCTAGATGGATTGAGGAAGGGGATGCTAATTCTCACTTCTTCCATGCTTCGGCTTCTGCTCGAAGAAGAGGCAATAGGATTGCTCAAGTTAATGATTCTGATGGGAATTGTATCATTGATCTGATTCTTATTCAGGAAGAGTTTTTGCACTTTTTATGAAGAAATGGCGTGAAAGAGAAGTTGCTATGGAGAATTGGCCTGAGTTTGGAAATCACGACAGAGTCTCGGATCTTCTGAGTTCTAGCATGGAGGAGGAGATCACGGCAGATGAAGTTCGGCAAGCTGTATTCAGTTTAGGGAAGAACCGTTCGCCTGGCATTGATGGTATCAATTCTTCCTTTTTAAAATTTTACTGGGACATCATTAAAGATGATGTTACCCGTGCTATTCTCTATTTCTTTGAGACTAACTCTATGTGTGAGAGTTGGAAAGAGACCATGGTGGTTCTTATCCCGAAGATTAATAATGCTAACGTGCCTTCGAAGTTCAGGCCTATCAGTTTATGCCAGTCATTTTATAAAATAGTGGCTAAGGTGCTGATTAATCGCCTTAAACCTGTGCTGAGCAGCATTATTAGTGAGGAGCAGGGGGCGTTTGTTCCAGGTCGGTCAATATCTAATCATGGGATGTTGGCTCAGGAGATGATGTTCAAATTCAAATGCTCAACTCAGAAGTCTGGATTGATGGCCTTGAAGGTGGATATGGAACAAGCCTATGATTGTATGGCTTGGGAGACCTTAGAACAAGTTATGAAGCTGATGGGTTTCAAGGAGAGGTTTACCCAGTGGGTGATGCAGTGTGTTTCACGGCCCAGTTTTACAATTCTTATTAATGGCAGTTGTACACGGTGGATTAAGGCTAAGAGTGGTCTACGGCAAGGGTGCCCGTTGTCACCGTATTTGTTTATCATATGCTCTGAACTGTTATCCAAAGCATTTCAGCAGAGGGGAGGGCAATTGGGAATCCAAGTTGTGAAAAATACTGACAGGATATCGCATCTGCTATATGTAGATGATATTCTAGTTTTTGCGGTAGCTAGTCGAGCAAATGCTATTTGTATTATGGAGCTGCTTGATGACTACTGTGGATAGACGGGGCAGAGCATTAACAGTGCAAAATATGCCATTCTTTTTAATAAGAAATGTCCTTATTGGAGGATGAGGATGATCACTAAAATGATGAAATATAGAAGGGTAAATTCATTGGATTATTTGGGAATCCCGTTGGTTATGAGGAAGCTGGTGAATACAGATTTTGGCAAGGTGATGGATGCTGCTCAAGCAAAGACGAATGTATGGGGTTAGAAGCAACTCTCTTTTGCGGGAAGAGCCTTGCTGATTAATACTTCCTTATTATCTATACCTATGTATATGATGACTCACTCAGTCGTTCCTAATGGAGTTCTACATTATATTGAGAGGCTGGGGAGGCGTTTTTTATGGCAGAAAGACTCCAACAGCAGGGGTATGCATTATGTAGGATGGAATGAGCTCTGTAAACCGAGAATTCAAGGTGGTCTGGGGTTCCATGATCTTATTATCTGGAAGTCTGCTCTTCGTGCTCGGATTGTTTGGGATCTGCAACAGCATCCTGATTCGGTTCTTTACAAAGTTTTAATGGTCAAATATGAGATGAAGCTTTGGGATACTTCTCTGGGGAAGATGTCTTCTGCTACCTGGAAGATTATTCAGGATGGGGCTAGTGCTCTCAGGCCTATCTTGAGATGGAATATTGGTAATGGTATGAGTATTGATGTCTTTCAGGATGTCTGGATCATGGATCGTGTATTGGATAAATGGCCCACATTTATGAATGTGGAAGAGGTAGAGAATTTTTATGTGGGTGACTTACTGAACAATTCTTTTCAGTGGAACGAGGAGCTGATCAAGAGGTGTTTTGGAGCTATTATGGCTGAACGTATTTTAGCTATTGATGTTGGTAATGATTCCCATGGTGATTGCCCTGAGCTTATTCATGATAGAAGGGACATGACAGTTGCTGCTATGGCCTATAGAATTAACTTTTGGGTGGAGGAGAACAATGTAGGCTGGCTGTACAATTTGAAATTACATCCACGGGAGAGGTTCTTCTGGTGGAGAGTGATGAAGGATGCGATTCCTACGGCATCTTGGCTTTTCCGCAGGAGGTTGGGGGATAATGCTCTATGTCCATGGATGTGTAATGTGGAAGAAAACCTGGATCATTGTACTGTGCATTGTATTAAGCTGAAAGATGTGATTGTGATCCTGGCTAAATGGGGAATCATGCTGCCTATGATGAATTCTTTTCAGGAGTTGATTTTGTTTTTCTCTACTTGTGCTGAGAAAAATCGGGTGATGGGCCGTATCTACTGTTATATGGTGTATCAGGTGTGGCGAGCTAGAAATGATAAGAAACATCGGCGTATGTGTAGATCTCCTACTGTGATTTCTGCAGCGGTGCTTTCTTTATTACCGAAGCCTTTTAAATGGCCAATACTGGAGCAATGGGGTACCAATCAGCCGATCGGGCTGCCGTCTCATAAGTTGTGGTGCCCTCCCCCTCCAGGTTGGCTTAAATTTAATTTTGATGCCTCGGTGATGCCTTCTAACCAGGTGGGGCTGGGCATTGTGGTGCGGAACCATGTAGGATAGCTGATTGTTGCGGCTGGAAGAAGAATGGAACACTAGAATACGTTATATGCTGAAGTCATGGCTGCTGCTGCTATTCGGGAGGTGCTGCAGGATTGTATGCTTGATCTGGAAGGAATTATTATTGAAGGGGACTGTATAAATGCTATACGGTGGCTGCAAAGCTTGAATGATCGCCAGAACTGTGTCCATTATAAGTTGGATGGCCCGGATCTCTCCTTCCTCATGGAATTCAAAAAGGTTCTGTTTTGTTATATTTCTCGGGACAGTAATCGTCCTGCTGATTACTGTGCCCATCTTGCATTGCTTGGTAGTTTTTCTTTTAATGATGTGAATAATGAGTTCCCCCCAACATTGTTGTCTATGTTGAGGGAGGAGAGTGATAGGGTTTAGTTTTTACATGAGAGTTACTTGTAATTAGATTTTACTTCATTTTAATGCAAATGCAGATATTCAGCTCTCTCTCTCTCTCTCTCTCTCTCTTTCTCACTCATGTGAGAAAATATATTTACTTTCTTTCAATTAATTTTAAAATACTACATGTCCTAATTTTTATAAATAAATAAATAAGTAGTATATACAAAAATAGATAGTTCTCACATGATTTGCTTTATTTGTATTTTAATGGTTTCTTTCAATTAAATCTAAATAGTCGGATGTTATACCGCCCCGAAGGGAAGACTAATATCCTTCTATTGATTTTAGAGAAAGAAAAGTATAATTAATTCTTCTAATCAGGTGCAACATAGGGAATATATAAATTATCCCGAAGATAGATTCGCATATTATCCTATCGGCCTAATTATACTAATTAATTATGAATTTATTTCCATTATCAAATATAGAAGATATTTGACCCGCCTGTGAGAGCAAATCAATCATCCACCTATTCTTTTATTATAGAAATAAATTTTAAAATATAGATAAAGCACTTAATCCACGTTCACAGATCTTTCCCCCACCTCAGAAAGGAAACTAAGATGGGGTTTAAATTATTCTAGGATCTAGACTCTCTATAGGGGCAAGCCCTTATAGTTAATTATATCTCCTAAGAGAATACTCTCGATTTAAATGAAGACTAATTAATTCCAAAATTATATATAAATTTAATCAAATATTTGGGCCAATTTAAATTTTCATGCTCAGGCTTTAGATTATAAACTTTGACAGTGAATTTTGAAGAATTAGAATTAATTAGAAAGGATGTGCAGAGAGAGAGAGAGTGTATACATTCTAAACTTACCACCTGCCTAGAGTGGGCTGCCAGCTAACAATCCTAATCACAACAATTCGCCGATGATGCAAGATTTAAGATGGCTCTATCGTAGGAATCAAGGAGTGGTTAAATAATTTAAATCAAATGCAATAGAAATATGCTTACAAAAACTAAAAATCTACACGAATGTTAATGATGTATGAAACAATTATATATAAAAGAGAGCTGATTTTATTAATATAAAATTTACATGTTACATCCCAGGGGCTGCAATAAAGTAAAGGTGGTCAGGCCCCACCGACAACAAACCTAGGTTTTAAGGCTATAAGAGAGTAGAACTAAATGCAACTGCTTATGGTCTTCAGGCTCTGAGTCTTCTATGGAATTCCAAAAAGGAACATCCTCCTAGGGGAGGGTATTACTTTTTGGATCCCCATTTGTATGTATAAGCAGTTATCTTTAATTCTTTTACAGACTCAAGACACTTTACAGACTCAATCTATATACAACAGATCTAGGAAAATAAAGCTTTATATTTCTCTTTACAAGTATATCAATCCCTAGGGACATTCTACTTTGCATGTAAGTAAAGTACAGGAAAGTAAAGCAGTTATGTAGTTATGCATGCTATGAGTGCGTTGTGTACAGTTATAAATACAGAAAAGTAAAGTATACGACCACTCCGCTCTCCGGTGCACTGATAGAAAAGTAGATATGCATGCTATGCAGTATAGAAAAGTAAGTAAATACACGTAGGTTCCCTCTAGGCAAGACACCCACAAACAAGATAACAACAAACCACCAACCTAGCCTAGGCTAAAGTGGGTAGTCCTAGCAAGCATCTAAGTGTGTGAAAGAGGTCGTGTGGCTTGGATAGGTCCTATAGGAATTATTATTCAAATTACATGTATTATTAGCATTGATTTATTACAGGACAAATGTGAATTTGATTAAAGTTTAAGTAGAGTGTATTTGAATTTTAATTATTCCAATTTTAGAAGTTAGAGTTATTTGATTTAGTTTTGAAGAACTTATAGATTGATAACTCCCTAAGTGCAGGAAGTTATCAATTTATAAGTCCTAGGACTTTCAAAATGCACACTTGTCTTATAAAGAAGATAAGTGCTCATTTTAAGAATCCTCAAAATTTTATTAGAGAGAGAAAAGGGACCTTATAAATGTAATGTGACACACCTTCCCTAAGGACTCGTGTATGTCACATAAGGTCGGTATATTATTATATTTGTTTAAAGATCTCCAAATCCAAATGTATTAGTGCCTTCCTAAAAGGAGTCTTGCACAACACATGGGAG